ACAGCTGCCCCCACGTTACACAGCGATGCACGCACAGCTGCCCCCACGTTACAGAACCAATTTATTTTGCTATACCTTACAAAGTGTGCCATCTCAGCGGAGTAGGCTCTTTGAAAGGGTGATCCAATTAGAAGCACACACCCAGTTTGCCCTCATAGACTAGGGACATTTTTTTCCTTTTTGTATTTAAGCAATTCTGTTCTAAAAGATTTTATTTAACCAGCTTCTGCTGCCCTTTAATGCAGCTCATTCCAGATCATTCTAACTCGCTGCATTAAACAGCAAAGTAGCCAGAAGGTTACTAACATTTAGATACAGAATCCTGGGATAATCCAGCACAGAAGTAGCCCATAGGGTCTGTGATCATTCTTTCAATGAGACAGTCAGATTTTTTTCCACTCCTCTTTTATTACTCCACTTTTTCCCCCAAAGCATTTATCCAACTTCTCTTCAATAGCTAATTTTTGAAACTGTATCCAAATAAAAACCAAAAGAGCTGCAGATGCTATAAATCAGAAACAAAATTGGAAATTGCTGGAAAAGCTCAGCAGTCTGGCAGCATTTGTGGAGAGGAAGCAGAGATAACGTTCAGGTCCAGTGACCCTTCCTCGGATCTCCAGCTAACTCTGATTTCTCTCCACAGATGCTGCCAGACCTGCTGGGCTTTTCCAGCAATTTCTGTTTTTGTTTTTCAATCTGTATCCACTGCGCTATAAGGCAATACGCTTCTATCTGTATCTGCTGTGCTATAAGGCAGTACACTTCTATCTGTATCTGCCGTGCTATAAGGCAGTATACTTCAAACACAAAACCCTTGTTGTATAAAAATGCTTTCTCACATCACGGCTGCTTCTCTAGCCAATCACCTCTGTGCCCCTTTATTCAATCCAACAGCCACCAGCAGCGGCTTCTCGCGTTAGTATTCAATGTTTTAAACTCCTCCATCAAATCAACTCCCATTAGTTTGCTCTCTTCTACGGTAATCAGACTTTCAGAAGTAAGGTTGAGTATCTTTCTGGCCACTGACTCTGTCTCTCTGATGTTTTTGTGCAGCAATGTTGGAATCACGTTGGAAACTTACAGCCAACAATAAGGGGAAAAGATGGAAAGAAATATTAAAGGATGGTAGGTTAGCACAACAGCAGACTGTGTCATTCACTGGCAATCTGGTAGTTCTGAAGAGGGCTATACGGTTTGTGTACATTAAACAGGTGACTTGGTACATAGTTCCAGGAGGGGGCCAGGCAGGTACATCCCTGTACACTAGCTCTGACAGCATCTTCCCCCTCTCACACACAGCAGCATGGAATCAGAAAGTCACAATCATTCCACATGTTCTAAACTCTCAGGCACACACTACTGAAAAGATTCAGCTGACTCTGAGACAAACTGATTCAATAAGTTCACTCACTAAAACCAGGAAGCACAGAGAGTCAGAGTGCACAGCAACTAAAATCTCCAACAAAGTTAATGGAACTCTTCCAACACTTTGCTCTCCTGTAGTTTCACCAGTCTCTTAGAAAAGTTGACGTTGTAGTGAGCTTTTCCTTCGATTGATGCATTAAGCATAAAACACTTCTAATGTTATTTTTGTCAACTTATCATCAAACAAAGCTTTATGATTGGTTACAGACCCTCGGGCAGTAGCAGTGCAGCCAATCAGCATCAAACCAGAGGATGGGAGTAGCAGTTAGTATCCTACACCTTTCTCACTGGTCTCACAGCCCAGGGTCACTGAGACCAGCTAACACTAACATGCCCTCATTGAAGTACAGTGCAGGATCAAGCAGTACACTCACCCATTCAGCCATTAGAATAACTAAAGATAGGACAGCTAGGCCACGTTGATGTTATTCAATGGGTTTGCTTTGTACTTTCCCCAGAACAGGCCCTGAACTGTAAGCATGTGAGAATGATCACATACCATTTGTCCCTAAACCATGTAAGTTGGACTTACTTGTTGTGCATCACCTTCAGTGTACGGGAGTTTTGTGGAAACATGGAACATAATCTCTTTGCTCCTGAATTTGGTATAAACCGACTCTGTTCCTGTTTGGCCATGTGCAACATCCAGGCCTCCACGAAAGCTGACAAACAAAAGATCTGATTAATACAACAGGTAGCTAGCATGATTTGATCTTCCAATCTCTCATTCACATGCAATATTTTGTAACCTGTCTTCAATGGATTGCCATCTCTTTTAAAATGGCAGAAAAAAGAATGTCAGGCAGAAGCATTAAACTTTCATCCTCATGCTGGTACCCTGCAAACGATTCTGAAATCACTGCTCCCACACAAGTTTAATGCCAAAAATTAAAAGGGGTAAATTATGGGGAGAGCTTGCCAAGACCAAATTGGTTTCCTTTCAGGATAGAAGATTATGGGCCGACGTGATGAAGGTGTATAATTTGAGACGATTAGAATCCCTACAGTGTTGAAGCGGGCCATTCAGCCCATTGAGTCCAGACCACTGCTCCAAACAGCATCCCACCCCGACTCACCCCCACAACCCTGCATTCCCACAGCCAATCCACCTAACCTGCACACCTTTGGACTGTGGGAGGAAACCAGAGCACCTGGAGGAATCCCATGCAGACACAGGGAGAATGTGCAAACTCCACACAAGGAGGTGCCCCAGAGTGGAACTGAACCTGGTTCACTGGCACTGGAAGCCCCTTAATTTTAAATTGTGCCGCCCCCACCGTTCTAGACTTTCCAACCCGGGAAACATCTTAACTGCATCTACTCTTTTATCCCTTTAAGTATTTTGTAGGTTTCAATTAAATCACCTCTCATCATTTGAAACGGTGGAGAACACAGGCTCAGTTTGACCGATCTCTCTTCATAGGACAGTCCCATCATCCCAGAAATGAGTCTGGTGAACCATCGTTACACTCGCTCTGTGACAATAACATCTCTCCTGAGAAAAGGAGACCAAAACTGCACAGTAGTCCAGACAGAGTGTAGCCAAGCTCCTATGAAACTGAAGCAAGACTTCATTACTCCTGTTCACAAATCACCTTGTAATAAAGGCTAACATTCTGTTAGCCCCACCCACCAATAGCTTGCTGCACCTGTTTGTTAGACTTCAGTGACTCATTGACACTGGGTGCCTTTGCACATCTACACTTGCCAATCTAAGAAACACTCTGCATGTATGTTCGTCCTCCCAAAGCGGATAACCTCACAATTTTTACATTATATTCCATCAAAGTTTTCGTCCAAATCCTCCTGAAGATATTTTATACCTTCATCACAACATGCATTTCCACTTAGCCTTGTATCATCCCCAAATATGGAAAAACTACCTTTGGTCATGACCTGTAAACCATTGGAATCAGTCAAGTCCCTGGTGTTTCTCAAACCTCATAATCTGGCTGTGCAATTAAGCAAAATAGCCACAATTTCAAACTATCCAATGATGTGGAACTGTGCAAAGGGTCATTTGGATAGTTTATTTTGCTTAATTGCACAGCCAGGTTGTGAGGTTTTGAGAAACATCAGGGACTAGACTGATTCCAATGATTTACAGGTGGGGACCGAAGGTAATTTTTTTCCAAATTTGGATGACATGGTGGCTCAATGGTTGGCACTGCCACCTCACAGTGCCAGGGTTCAATCCCACCCTCAGGCAACTGTCTGTGTGGAGTTTGCACATTCTCCACGTGTTTGTGTGGGTTTCCTTTAGGTGCTCTGGTTTCCTCCGACAAACCAAAGATGTGCAGGTTAGGTGGAATGGCCATGCTAAATTGTCCATAGTGTCCAGGGATGTGCAGGGCAGGTGGGTTAGACATAGGAAATGAGGGGTTACAGGGATAGGGTGCGGGGGTGCTCTTCAATGGGCTGAATGGCCGGCACCACACTGCAGTGTTTCTAGGATTCTGTGAATGGCTGTTTGGTGAATAGAAACACATGCAGTGCATGTAAATAGAGATATTTTGGTGTAGAGCTGGATGAACACAGCAGGCCAAGCTGCATCAGAGGAGCAGGAGGGCTGACGTTTCGGGCCTAGACCCTTCTTCAGAAATCTTTCCTACTATCTCCAGTGCATGTAAATGTTCTTTCTGCCTCCTCTCCAGCGACCACAGTTCAAATATATAAAGTTCTAAATCTGGTCAGTACTGTACAAAAACAAAACTCACCCTTTAAAGTCCTGCAGCTCAACTTTCTCACCCAACAGCTCCAGAAATTCGACAAAGGCAGGGCTTTCTTCATTGTTGGTAAATAACTCTTCCTCTGAAGTCTGTTGTACAAGCAAAAATAATTTTGACTATTGCTGTATTTATGTCATTGTCTGCTAGAATTCAATAGTTGTTAAGCCTGGTCAAATATTCCAATTAAACGTGAACTTGTGGTATCTATACTTATTTATAAATACAGGATTACCTTTAGAATTTTTTAGGTCACCATATCTAAACGTTTGCACCTGTAGATCTTGGATTAAGAGAATTCCTGCGGTTTAATTTCCATATTTCTGTACTATAGGATGACAAAATGGGGTGGCCCCATCCAGATAGTGTGAGTGAGCAGAGATCAGAGTATCCATCTTCAGTTGCTTCAACAATGACCTTCCCTCCATCACAAAGTAAGAAGTGGGGATGTTCACTGAAGATTGCACAATGTTCAGCACCATTCACTACTCCTTAATCTGAAGCAGTCTATATCTAAATGCAGCAAGACCTGGACAATATCCAGGCTTGGGTTGACAAGTGGCAAGTAACATTTGTGCTACACAAATGCCAGGCAGTGACCATTATGGAGGGACAAACACTCATCAAAATGTTCAATTTAATAAAAAAAAAAAGCAATTTGCCTTTTCACCAAAGTACAAACGATAGAGACAAAAAAAACCTGCAGATGCTGGAATCCAAGGTAGACAAACAAGAGGCTGGAAGAACACAGCAGGACAGGCAGCATCTGGAGGAAAGGAGCCGTCAACATTTCGGGTATTATCTTTTTTCAGGACTAAAGAAGTATATAAAATATAAAAGTGGTCCTGCTAACTTATACATCATATTAAAACTAGGGTATATTGTAAGGTAATATTTTAATCTTTGAAATTTTGAGAAACGTTGCCTTCGTAACATAAGCTCATTGTACTTCAGTTGTTAGTGGGATCTCCCTGTGCTACGTCTAATTTCAAAGGAAGCAAAATAGGGATTCCACGCTTTGCTTATAATAATTCCTGCAGCAGCACAACAACAACAGCCTGCATTTATACAGCACCTTTAACAGAGTAAACCTTTCCAAGATATGTCACATTCTTGACATCAAACAAAATGTACTTTGAGCCACATAAAGACACATTAGGATAGATGACCAAAAGCTAGCTCAAAGACATTACTTTTAAGGGATGTGTTACAAAGGGTGAGAGAGGTGGAGAGATTTAGGAAGAAAATTGTAGAGTTTAGGGACTTGGAAGCTGAAGGCATGGCCAACATTAGAATGTCAGAACCTGGGGATAAATGCTGGTATCTTGGGAAGATTATGGGACTGCAGGATATTGCAGATTGTACTTTATAAAGGTTTTTTAAGTCCCTGCTTACATCACATTATAACAATAGCTACATTCTTGACAGTGAAGCATTTTGGGGCATCCTAAATGATGCTATATAAACACAAATCTTTTGTTTTGTTTTAATCCATTCACAGGATATAAGCATTACTGACTAGGACAGCATTTATTGCCCATCCCAAGCTATTAACCCAGTTAAGAGTCAACTACATCGCTGTGGGTCTGGGGTCATATTGAGGCCTGACCAGGTGAGGATGGCAGATTCCTTCCCTAAAGGACCTTAGTGAACCAGATGGTTTTTTCCCCTTCTGACAACCAAAACCAGTTTCATGGTCATCATTAAATTCCTAATTCTAGATTTTGACTAAGTTCAAATTCTACCATCTGCAGGAGTTGAACCTGGGTCCCCAGAACATTGCCTGGGTCTTTGGGTTAATAATTTAGCAATATCACCACTGGGCCATGCATCCCCTGCTACATTTACAGTCTACAAAATATAGTCAAAGTGGTTGATTCACAAAATAGTGAGTTAACATTATTCAATATTTCTTATTAAGAATACAGTGAATACATTTTGGTAAAAAAAAAATAAAAAACTATTCTGTCTTCAGATTCTTATTAAGACCACAAGAGGCTGCACAAAGTAAAAGTGAAGTGATCAGGACTGTACAGATTTAACATACTGATTATTAATGTTGAACATTCAAATTATTTTGTGATTAAACTCTTAGTTGCACACTGCTGCTACTGAGTGTTTCTCTGCTAATACAAAGAAACATTCTTTAAATCCTACTGAATTAGTGAGGGATTCATTGACACTCAAGAAAGATCTAGAAAGGCTATATAGAGAGAAGGAAAATGCATTTAAATGGGACAAAATCAATTATTCGAATGTTTACATTTGAAGATCCTCATGCTGCTCAGATTTCAAAGGTTCCTTTGAAATGCTGAAGTACCATTTGTAGTATGCTGGAGCTGTATAAAACTAAATTTGAAAAAGGAAATATGCAGCACTTCTCACAACTCTTTGTTCTCATACTCTTTAAAATATAATGAGCGCCTTCATTTCCACCTTTCACTAAAAGCACACAAACTTGTCCTGATAAAAGATGAGATCGGTACACAATAAAAAATCACTTGTCACACTCCCCTGTGTAATGACAGGATGTCTGTGCTGGCAACCCATTCTGAAGTGGCTGTAATCAGAGGGGAATTTGAAACTCAGCCTATTTTTAAACTTCTGCCATGGACTGCACTCTGTTTCAAAATGGTGCTGTGTATGTTAGACTAGACTAACTGTTTTCTTATGTTGTGATTGCTCTCTCACTATGATAATCATCAGGTGTGAGGCACTCTCTCTGTTGCTGTATGTAGCACAGGTCTGGCCCATTCCCCGAACCTGCGCTGTTTCATCTTCCACTTCACCTGGAAGCCCAAAATAGACCGGGTCTGCAGGAACTCCATGTACAAAGCTCTGGATGGAGACGGGGGTTGGGGGGGCAAGAACATACTCAATGTTGGCCTCATCCTGATGGCTGCATCAGGCTGTGTGTAGATCCTCGGTATGAACGCACCAAGTGTCACTTTGTACTAAAGTTCTACCTGTCCCCGATGTTGCAAAGGATGGGCCTGGCCTCACTGCCATGGAATGTCCCGTATCACCTGTCCCTTGTAGAGATATTTGCAAAGAAAAACATCTTGGACCACCAGTCCATCATGAAATGGTCAGCATGCAGTGTCCTCAAGACCCTGAGGGTAAAGGAGAGGGTGGGTCCCTGAGCAGACTGTCAAAGTCATTTGTCAGAGTGTCTGATCACTAGAACTTTCCAGCAAGCACCAAGACATCACTTGGCTGAACGGCACTTCCTGTCTACGGTCTGTTCCCTGGGACGCACACCGAGACCAACATCAACTGCGCCTGGAGGATCATCAACTTGGTGAAAGACACTCTGTGATCTGCCTGAAACTTGTCGGTCTTCCAGAACAAGGAGCTGACCCTGGCCAAGTGTTACAGACTGACACATTCCAAGGCCCAGGATTACGTGCTGAGGGACGCACTAAAGCCTGGGGCAGCTGCTGCCATGGTGTAGTGGGGAAAGACCACTGTCTGAGGTCTTCCTCCTGAAGGTACATGGACGTCTGTTCAGTTATCGGACCCTCCCAGTGCCTCAAATATATGTAAATAAAATCTTGTACAAGCCTTTGGTTGGTTTACTGGATAGAGTCAAACTCCAGTGTTTGTTTTCTCATATGGTCCCGTGTAGAACCGAAATGCTTTAGTGACTATGTATATAAAGATATGTTTATGAATAAAGGATAGTTTTGAAATAAAAAAACGTAGGCATGTTAGGCTGGCAAGATCCAAAAACACAGCAATAAATGGGTCATTAAAAATCTTACAAAATTACACTGTCAATCCAACAAGGGGACCTGGTTGAAAGTACAAAGCACTCACCTGGCCAAACTTTTGATAAATAACCCCAAATTTGAAATGGTTGCTGATGACGTGTTCATCAAATGTTACAATTAACCGAGAGGCCTGTAAAATACAGAAGAAAGTGTAAGAAAAATCCTGACAACCTAATGCATTCAGTTATATCTCTCGCCCCCTCTCTCTCACACACGCACAAACACACAGACACATGCGTGCACTCTCCCATTTACAGACACATGTGAGTCTATGGGGTGAATTTATATTTGCAGGTACATTCTATTTTGTTCAAAAAATACACAAGTTATTGACAGTCAATATGGCATTTTATAAATTCCTACTTTAGAAATAAAACCAGTCTGACTCCAAACCAAAACACAGATTCTAAACAAGGCCTCACACCTACCCTGCATTGTCTGACCTAAAATGTCACCTCTTCTTTAAACTGATAAAACCCTTAGTTCTCTCAGGACAGTGATTTCAAAGGAATTCAAGGATTTAAATATCCATATTAATCAATTAAAACCTTATAACTGATTAAAGATTTAACAGCATCTCAGGTTTGTCTACTACATCCTCACCAGTGGTGTGACCCTTTGATGTTTTACATCTAAATACTGTGTCTGATGCTACCTCTCTCACTGACACCTGAAGGAGCGAGACTCCAAAAGCTTGTGTTTTCAAATAAGCCTGTTGGACTATGACCTGATGTCATGTGATTTCTGACCTTGTCCACCCCAATCCAACACCGGAACCTCCACATCAGGATTAACATTCCTAGCAAGGGCAAATAACACGGGCAAAAACATGATGCTGAAAAACACATTGGAAGAATTAAAGGAATTGAAAACCTGAACCATACTGAGACCTACCTTAGGGTATAAAACAGGGAAGAAACGGTCCACATTTACCTCTTCACAAACAAGCTGCAAATAGAGGAACAAAAGATCACTTCAGCCTCTGTAATCAGGTCTTGTTCACAGATTGATCTGACATAAGGATCTTTCTTGCACTGTGTACTGATCAATAATGGGGCAAACCACTACAGGCTGGAAGAGACCCCATCCTCACACACGTGCCCACACTACCCACCCAACCCTAACCCCAGCCCCCACCATGCACCCTCACTACCTCCCACCCGCACACCCACACGCCAACACCCCCACTGTGCGTGCACTCTCTCTCACACACACTCACTCTCACACACACACACACTCTCTCTCTCACTCTCACACACACTCACTCTCTCTCACTCACACATACTCACTCTCTCTCTCTCTCTCACACACACTCACTCTCTCTCTCTCTCACTTACACACACACACACACACTCTCTCTCTCTCTCACACACACACATACACACAATGTAAGTGATATTTAATCGAAGGTGTTGCTGCTTGTTGGATGATTTCAGACTAAAACATATTCATTCTCTTAAATGGCACTCATCTCAGGTGTTTTGATGAGTTTGGACAGAAATAGCTTGAAGAACAAAAAAATTGAAATAATCTTGAGTTTTGCTGTTGCAGGTTAGGTGAAAATAACCATGTTATGAGATTGATATTGAGTGAGTTACTGAGCAGCACTGAGCTCTGGAACCTGCTCAATACCAGCACTACCTACATTCCAGTGCCAGTTTCTTTTAAAACTTCACAAAATTCCACACTGTCTTCAGAAAACCAATGTTAAAAATTTAAAATCAATAAACGTGGAGCTGGAAAAGCACAGCAGGTCAAACAGCATCTGAGGTGAAGGGAAGTCAACTATTGACTCTAGCTTCCAGCATCTACAGTCCTTACTGTCTCCAAGTCATTAAAAATTTAAAAATGGGAACTACCTAAACTTTAAGTTGGTCAGTGTTTAGAAGTATTTCTGAATAATCTCCAATATTCTGCTATTTCTTGCTGCTCTAAATGGTCAAGTGACACGAGATAATTAAAATCACTCCCATCTCCAGTGGCAGTTTTCAACCTTTAAGTTAAACTTCAGAAAGTTTGCTACAAGTTCGCTGTGGCTTTCCTTCACAGTGAGTTTTCTCTGTCTCCGCTTGAAGGCCAAGTCTGATCACTGTCTTCTCGGCATGGATTGGATGGACTGAAAGGTCTGTTTCTGTGTTATACGACTCTATGACTGTAAGTGCTACAATGACATAACTACTTTCCAAACAGCACCTACTTTAGCTTTAGGAAACCCAGAGCTTCATAGCCACATTTGCAGTGCATCCACCTTAAACATCTCACCTGGAGAGACTTTATTGTTTCGTGGGAAAGATACACACCTTCGCCATTTGAACCACATTGGGGAATTCAGTGAGGCAAGATATCGGAACAACATCCTGATAGGTTTTGTGTTTGGTTCTGTGGAGAAAACATTTCAATTAACCAATGCGCAGGTTTATTTCACAACATTAAATTTTATGTTTCGAAACAAAGGAGAATTGCTTTGCCAAAGATATTTTTATGAAGGCTTTAAGTAAAATAAACGGATCTGCTCATTTTTAAGAGGCTTGTACCATACTGTAAAAATAAGAGAACTTGGCTGGAAAATTGGTCTCAAGTATCAGATATTAGAAGAGTGACCCCGTGCCCTGGGAAAAGTGACTGTATAAAAGCAATGATCTGGGAGGTGTGACCACCAGCTCGAGCCCACAGCAGTGAACATTAATCTGTTTAAACCAAGCTCCTGGGATATGATGACAGCCTTAAACTCAATGACGGATTGGTGCAAACGTGCTTTCCCCACTTTACAGAATCAAACCTAAGACAGGAGCCAAACTATTTCTAAAAATCAGGAATTCTTACTTAACAACTGCACTGCGAAAAGCAACACCAGCATTCGTGGGCATAGTGTGCCACAGTTGAATCAACCCCCACACCCCACCCCCCGACAGGGTAACTCCCCCCTCCTCCCACACCCCCACCCCGACACGCGCGCACACACACGCGCGCACACACACAGACACACACACACACACACACACACA